TCCTTGATAAAATAATGGTTGCATCTAATATTAAACTACAGATGGCAGAGTATAGCGTTGATTCATCTCGTTCTACTTTGGATTACTTGGAGCCAATAAAGATCCTAGAAAGTTAGTATTTATATGCCTGTGTTTTTTCACTGTCTTTGACTTTCCCAGTATGTTTGTTGCTATTGACAACAATTCAGTCCTTTGCAAGGCTTCAGTCAATGTTTTTTTTCATTACCTACCCATCTCCTCGTCTGGCACTATGTAGCTGGTGTGGTATATTTATCAAAGACAGTCGGGCATTTGTTACATTTAGTGCTCCAAAAAAAATATTCTCTGTCCATGTGTATTTATATAAATAGATGCAGTTTCTTTGGCTTGAATAACATTCACTGGCTTCGTACATACAGGTATACTGGTTTACCAGTTTCTAGTTGAAATTTAGCCAATCTTATTACCCAAGACAGTTGGACATTTGCCACATGTACTCGTTTCCAAGTGCCACAGCTTGAAACAAGTAGTCAAATCTGATATTGGCTGCAGCTTTTGTTTATATGGAAATGGACATGGTGAACGGCAAACTAGATGGTCAGAAAGTAATAATCACAGGTTTAATCCACCCACAACACTATGAAGTGAAAGGCTGTTTATAAGGCCATTTATGATGGTTTTATGTTTATTATGGAAAATAATTTTAATTATAAACTTCTATGCTCCTGCACCCAATCGTGGGGATCAATCATATTGAACAGGTGTCATTATTACTAAGAAAAATGTACTTTTTTTTCATTAAAATTACTGAATATATATTATATATATATCTGGATAAATGCTGAAAAAATAATTTTGGTCTGTCAGAGGATGACTAGTTTTCTAACTATACACTGACCTTGGATCTAGCTGCTAGTTATAGATGTATTCATCAGTGTTTGTCTTAAATATATAATTTAGCTCCCATTGATAATACATTGACATTAGCTGGTATACTAGTAAAAAAGCACAATTCCGCACCTAACTCTTGTGCTATGCGGTCACCCAATTTTCATAGCATGGGCTAAGGGATCCGGACCAGATTTAATCCATACTTAGAGTTTTCCTAGCCCGTACTAAGTGTTCATGCACAATTCGTTATCCCATTATGCTAAGGATCTATAGACTGTCGACAGTCCCTCTGGCCTTACGTGTGTGTGGTTTTTTTATTAATATTAATATTAATCAGGCGTTTGCGAAATGCCGAAGGCATTTCAAGCGAGGGACGTAAGGCCCGAGAGACTGTTATAGCCTGCAGGACTGGCCTTGCTATTAATTATGTATGCATCTCGATGACGTAGTAATAATTTGCATATGGGCGGAGTTAAACTGTTATGCAAAGGTCAAATCGCGGGTTTTTTTAATGTCACGCATGACTTTGATCGTCTCGCCGAGTATAGATCGTTTTCTGCCAAGTATTATCCAGAACTACAAGTCACCGATACTGTCCAGCAGGAATGGCACCATTTCATAAGTCAGCGACTTGCCACTGCCAGTCGGCGCTGTGAGAAAAACATCTTTCTTCTGCAAATAGCCATCAATGACTTGTCGCTGGATTGGTTGAATACTTTCATACCCAAGTTTCTTCAACGCCAGCGAAACTGCATCGTCACAAGCCATCTTCAAAGCAGTGCACTGAACGAAGTTTATAAACTATTGCATCGTCTGGTGGCTCAATTTTTTTTACTTCCTATTGACCTGGGACTGCGTGACTTGTGATTGGTTAGCATTTTTATGACATCACTCTGCCTGTCAATCATGATGGTACGCTACAGGAGAATCTCTCTACAGTGGCGAGTGGTGGCGCAGCAGGCTATAACAGTCTCTTGGGCCTTCGGCATTTCGCAAACGCCTACGGCGTTTGATTAATATTAATAAAAAAAAACACACACACACACACACTTAAGGCCAGAGGGACTGTCGACAGTCTAAGGATCTAGAGTGTCTCAAAAACAGGCCAGACTGAATCCACACTTAGCTGTAATAGGTCTGCTCACAGATGACAATGTCACCATGGTAATAGGTCCGATATTTTTTATGACATTGGTATTACAAAGATCAAAGGTCATATGGTTAAATACCTGCATGGTTAGGAATGCAATCATTCAGAATAATTTCAGAACAAAAACTTATTCCCCTATATGCATGATGGCACATGTTAATAGTTCTTTCAATAAAAATTATCATTCAAGAGATATTAATTAACTCTAAACACAATTACAATGAAAACACCAGTACCAGAGTATACATCTCTCAATACTGTTCTAATTTAAAATTGTTCATTACAAATCAAGTGAACTGTTGTAATGTTTACTACATGCATTAGCGTCACTTGCTCTGTGCTAGAGCAGAATGTTTTTTTATAATACACCATACCTGCTCTATTTGTAGCACATGCACTTGGATAAATGACAGGCATGTCAATGAGTCATTGCTACCAGAGAAAATACATGAAAATACACTTGCGTTACTGTAAATGGCCAGTTCTCCTTGATGATGACTTCATAAAATCTGCAACTGATTTCTGCACATAATATTTGACAAGAATAGCAAGTCAAGTAATCATCTGAAACATTGGAATAGTCAAAGAATTGATCCAACCAAAAGAAATACATGTATCACTATTTTATTACTTTTCATCTGCATACAATTTTTGTATAATCTTATTTATAACACATTTCCACCAGTGGTGACTTTGTACACATAATGAATGAAACTAAGAGATAAGCTCTCTAAGAATGGACACTATCTATACATGCGAGTACATTCAGTCACTCAATTCAACGAAGATGATTTTTTTTTGGTTCAGGCAAATAAATAATGTAAAGATTGACATTCACACTTCTGGTTGATTGATTACATTTTTTAAATTGTCTATATTAGCTATAAAAAAATGATGAACAGTATTTGTTTCTCAGTCATAATGAAATGTGAACATCTGGCTACAAGGAAGGCTATAGGGGTCTAAAGATAGACATTCAATTTGAGATGCTGGTACTAATGATGGCACCATGATTCACTACACATCTTGTGGTACGGTATGTCAAAATTATTTCTATACATTCAGAATTACGTACCAATGTTTATACTTAACACAAAAAAAAGTACAGCAACATAAACATTCTTTTTCATGCCAGAACTAAATAATTTTAGACCTTACATTGATTCAAAATAATACAAAAGACAAAGAAACAATAAAAGTTCATTAGTTGACCACTCTTCAAATGTTTTCTACAATTTAATCGTACAATTGTCACGATTTGATGAGGTCAGTCTTCTATGATCCCAGGAAGGCTTAGTAACACAGACAGACAGACAGACAAACAAACAAGCAACATCAGTGGTGAAAGTTATTTAGTAGTTAGGAGCAAAGCGACTATAAGTCCGTAGAGACCTAACACTTCTGCGAAGATGAGAATCAAAATCATACCAACAAACAATCGTGGTTGTTGTGCGGTCCCGCGAACACCAGAATCTCCGACTATTCCAATTGCAAAACCTGCAGCTAAACCACTCAGACCTACACTCAGTCCAGCACCAAGATCAACAAAACTCCTGAAAAAAGAGAACACAATCAGAATATAATATTTATAGAAATGGTGTGTTAGGAGTTATCAGTTTGATAAATCATAGTAAAACAGCATTTTGACTGACTAAAAAAATATAAATTGATGCATCTGGTTACAAAACTTACTTGAATAAAGTATATGAACCATCATCAACAAGTCCATTTGATATTAGCAGTGCTACGACTAAACCATAAATGGCAACAATACCAGCCATGACTACTGGAACAACTGATTTCATAATTAATTCCGGCCTCATAACACTCATGGCGGCAATACCTGTTCCACTTTTAGCCGTACCATACGCAGCACCCAGAGCTGAAATTGAAAAAAAAAATAAGATAACATAACATTAATTGCAACTAAGATAATATCGCCTATATATTACATTGTAAAAATATCAAGTGGCGGCCTCTGTGATGAATGACTGATTTCATTCATATTCTCGGTGAAAGGTGATTTCGAACTAATTCAAGTTCCCCATTTTTTTTCATTTAGTGTACGGCTTTTAGTAAATAAAGTATCGCATGTAATATATCCGTAATTATATTAATATTATTTCAGGCGACTCGCGAGTCGATATTCTGATGTCAAAATCACAAGATCACCAAGGACAAAAATGACATGGTTCGATCATCGACATCATACAAATTACAAGCAAAGCAAATCATGAAAAAAAACCAACGCTAATACGTCACACTCACCACTGAACACCATGGCTGATGTAGCACCCATGACGCCGAAAAATGGCGTGTAGATAGGCTGTTCTGCGGTCATTTTTTTAAAGATTCTACTAACGTTAAAATGAAGGCAAATATTATCACAATTTGCGCAACGAGCTGAATAGAAGACTTCACACAAATAACCTCGCCTCGGTAGAAAATGGAGGTACAGTCATGTGATTTCCTGATTATCGAGTTTTTCTGTCGTTACCGTCGTCCTCATTGGTCAACGAATTGGCAGCTGAGATAAATACTGTCTGCCGTCCAATAATATTTTTCGTTGTAGGTACAACTCGCTTATCAATGACGTCACCACCACCCGGCAAATCACATGATAATTGTACTTCCTGTTCCAAGCTATTGCTGGCTGTGACAACATGCTACATGTGCACTATGAAGAAAGCAGCTATATCTAACGCAGAAAAAGATTTTATTCTGACATGTATTAAGAATAGGCGGGTAAGAAATAAATATAAACCTGTCTTTTATTCGTTTTTCGACGGTTTTAGTAACCGTGGTTTTCCACATCGAGATTGCCACCCGCATATTAATGTAATTTCGATGTTGACATATGACTATTAAATATCACATGTTTTGTTTATTAAACAAAACACTTTGCGGCTTTGGCGAAAATATTTGTTTACAATGTTATAGACAATAACAAAGCCTTTTATTTTTATAGCGATAAATTTGACATACAAAAATAAATTAAAATTAAAAGCAGATAGATATAACAGCCATAGAACAGGAGGCAGCAAGCATTGCCACCTGTATACATTGTGACTATTTTTTTTAACTAAACAAGCCACTTCGCGATGAGCGTCTTTTGCGGTCAGTAATATTTACAAACATTTTTGTTCACTATTGGCGATCTGCTCCGCTAGGATTGCCCTTAAAATCAATTTTGTGTGTCTGTGTGTGTGATTTCCAGTGTTTTCACGTATTAATTCTTCTGCGATTTTTTGGCTTGGCCTATTTCCCACAAACTTGGCAGGCAGGTCACACCATCACTCTAGTTATTAGGTAAAATCTCAAAAAAAAAAATTGGCCCACCATTGCCATAGTAACAGCCAGTTTTTTGGGATAGCTTTGTGCCAAATGTATCTCCTTCTACAAATTTTGGATAAAACTCCTCAGACGTAGCTCATTCTACTCAGCTTGAGTGTGGGCACAAAGTTACTATTTGAATTTTTGATATCTTTTTTCATTACTGAGAAATTTGACTCTTCTCTGATTTTTTTGGCTGGGCTGATTTGGTTCAAACTTGGCAGGCAAGTCACACCTTCACTCTAGTTAATAGGTTGTAAAATCTGTAAACAAATTCTGGCCCACGGTTTCCATGGTAACAGCAACAAAAAATGATTTTTTGAATACCTTCGCGCCAAATGTATCTCATCCTACAATTCTAGGATTACTAAGCCTGATTGTGGGCATACATTTACTGGTTGTTTTATGTCTATTTTCATTACCGAGAAACTTGACCTCAAAGTTGGGGTAACTTTTCACTAGCGGCTTTTAACAGCTCTGTATTTTTTTTGGCTTGGCTGATTTTGTTCATACTTGACAGGCAGGTCGTACTGTCACTAATTGAAAAAAAAATTCTCGCTCACCACTGCCATGGCAACAGCCAACAACTGATTTTTTAATACTTTCGCTCCAAAATTATTACCTTCCACCAGTCTTGTAATAGCAGTGTTACTAGTAATACAATCATGTTTTGTTTTATGTTGGCTACGTTGCACACTGATCAACAGCGCCAACAATGTTACACTGTATCAACGTAATCCCAACACAACTTTGAACTATAAATGAACTGTAAATGCTGCCTTCAATCTAAAAAATATTATCAAAAAACGGTTGGAAATAATAAATTTAACAGCAGAATACGTCCTAGCAATAAAATAAAGTGACTTCTAAAGACTGAACGTTTTTTTGCG